TACATTCCCGTTTCTCTTACAGTTGAGACAGCCAACATGTGTATTCTTACATTCAGTGTAGGTATGGTCGTCGCCTGCACAATCTGAGCAGTACTTTTTTTCTTTTCCGGACAGTCTCTCGTTGTGTGTTCTTCATATTTGTAGCAGGAGAAGCAAGTTTGCAGACTGATGAATGTCTCCTTCTTTATTTGATGTGGTGTGACTGACATGTTGAATATTAGAAAGCCCTGTTGTAAAACTTTCTCAGCCATTGACACTTCTTCAAACATGAGTATAGTCCTTTATCTTAATGACTTCTTCAATCTTCATCCACCTATTTTGGCGTTCCAGTTCTTCTTTCAGGTCTTCCTCCCGATCTCTTGATCGACTTGACGAACAAAAACTGATCTTTTTGCTTTTTGTTCTGGTGGCATAACAACAATAAGGCCTTCATTGTAAAATATATCTCTTGCTTCTTTTGAAAGGATTTTATCTGAATCAAAGTCATCTTTACAGATTACTTTAAAACCTTCATTGGTGCTGAATATTCTAGTTAGTGGGACTTGCAGTTTTGTTGTAAGTGATTTCTGCCACTTTTCCCCTTCCAATAGAGTGTCCCTTATCTCTATGTTTTATTCTATGCTAGTTGTCATCTTCTTGATTACATCTAATCTACCTACTCTTACAGGGGCTCCTGCCTGGGGAGCAGTGACCCCGCCCCCCCCTCTTGGACGGGCGTCGGGCTCTGCACAGGTTACCTGTGAACTATAGTAATATCTAAAAAAGTTGCCACCACCGGTGACCCCCGGACAAGGGGTGCCCTGCACTATCACAGGTTCCCTTGCCGGGATCGACCGTATCATGAGAGTCCGCCTCAAATTCCAAAAGAACGGGTGCATCGAGGGGATGAAAAAGGAAGAAGAGGACTTAGAGTAGAAACAAATACACCTACCGCCGTTCGGTCAATAATCAGAGCACCGCAGTAAACGTGCATGTATCACGCCACCGTGGGGCACCACTGATTGGCCAATCAGGACCATTTAACACGGGTAGTGAGTCAAAATTTGGTGGGGCAAATATTTTGTTTTTTCAAAGTTGGAATTTCCCATTACAATCTGTGATGGTAATTACACCGTCACTATGTTGATAGTACAATCACTAGGATTGAGTAATGTATCACAACAAAGTTGCAGACTCAAACATGCAACAAAAGATCAGCAGGTCTTCGCAGCTCCGTGTCTATTTTTGCCCAGGCTAGCATACCTAAGTTAAAGCAAACTCCTTGCCAATACAAGAAGGAAGAGGATTTCTTATAGTCTAATAAACAATTCATCATGACCAAATACAGTATCTAACACAGGGGTCGGGGGCGCAGCCCCCCACCTATAACTAACCATTTTGATTGCATTATCTCTGAGAATAGTTAGCAATTATCCATTTGATTGCATTATCCCAGGTTAAGGGGGTTTGTGTGTGGTTCCATATCACCAGATTTATTAAAAAACTCTACGTCAGGCTAAACAGTTTAGGCTAGATAGTGGTGGCTGCTTGGATTATTTCTTTGTCTCTTATTGACTTCGGGTGGCTAACCTCTATAAAATTGAGGACACCAATAGACCTTGTACTAAGGTTAGGTTAAACAGACACTTTTGCTGTAATGGAGGATTTCGCCATCGGGGAGCGTGACGAAACCTCCGGCGAAAGTAGTGGTTAGGTTAGGCGGCCCGGTAGTGGTGGTTGATTTGCCTGTATTATTATTATTATTCTATAAAATTTAAGGTCCCCCGTTGGGCTTTACCACGGTCAAGGCTAAACAGTTTAGGCTGCTTGGATTATTTCTTTGTCTCTTGTGACTTCCGGGTGGCCGCCTCTATAAAATTGAGGACACCAATAGACTTTAGCCACTAGGTTAGGTTAAACAGACACTT